TTTACAGACAGATGAAAAATAAGAAAACAGTTTCACTGATCCCAGCAGGTGATTAACTTCCTGTTTTACTTCTGAAAAAATAAAGAAAAAGCTACAAGACAACCCAAACAGGAAGTTTGCAGCTGGTACACCTTTCACATGGGGAAAAGCAGATGACCTCTGAAGGAGGTGTGACGATTGTAATCATCAAATATCCTCCCACCAGGCCAGAGGCGCACATACACCTGATCTTTAGCATCTAGAAGCAGTGAGCCACCATTAGAGGTACTTATAGAATGTGTTGTCTGATGTTCCCATGCCGTAAAAATGAGCTCGTTATTCCTGAACAACCTAGCAGATGTAGGATTGTCATTGTTTCCGTGTCCATGCAGGGTCAACTCAAAGTTGTAGACTCCTCTCACTGGTGCAGTGAAAATACCTGTGGGACATTTGTTTTTGCCACATTACATGAAAAATCAGCTGTTAGAACATCTGGAACATCAACAAAGCAGAGACATTCAGTGTTATTACCTGTGGCTGGGTTGTAGACATTTCCAATGTTTGTGACAACGCGTTTGAAGATCAGAGTAGTCTCTGTGTTAAATGGTCCAGCATAAGATCCACCACCTTGCTCCAGCAGAGAGGCTGAGAAAGCCACCTGTTGGGCTGAGAGATAGAGAAACGTCATTATTTTATACTTTCTGTGTTACAGTTATACCTCCTTTGTACAGGCTGTGAATTCAAACACTACACGTTACACAAACCCCATTTGGTAAATGCATTACTTTGATATAGTCTTAAAATATTAGTTTGTGTAGATATCATGTTGAAGAAATGTCATCTTGTTCACTGCACTGTTGTGAAACTGTAAGTTAATGATTCTTCAGTTTGTAAGCAGCACAGAAAATACAGATAGAGTGATAGTCTAATATTTAGACTAGCTTTTAACTAGATTTGTTTTATGTTTATCTGTTTTATATCATTGTGAAGCACGTTTTTACCGTGTTAAGAGTGCTATATAAATCAATAAAGTAAATTAAAGTAGTGTGATGTGTCACCACTGCTCCACCTTCACTCCTTTTTTAAGGCGCTGACTCCATTTTAATTCCTGTACTTAACTAATAATTCGATTAACTGAAGTTTATTATGAAATATTCATAAATTACTGGTTGAATCGATTTTACTTATGTATCTTATTTACCACTATTAACAGTTAATATTCTTTATATGTAAAACATTTGTTTAATGAATTATAAACTAGAAGCCGATTATTGCCAGCATGGCCACATCAGGATGTGCCAATACCACCAATATTTCATCAACATGATTAGAGAGTATATTTGGAGCAGCATGTGACATCAGCTCCCATTAAACACTTCAGATGTCATGGTCCGGGGTGTGCGGCTGCAATTTTCAGTCAGGCTCCTGAGTCTACCTGGGATCCACCCCTGGGCAGGGCCACCTCCTCCTCCAGTTTCTCACACCTGGAGCTGATTTGCAGGCAATCAACCCAGATTGATTTAAGCCTCCCACTGACGTTCATTCACTGCCAGTTTGTCATCAATCCATGTTGGTAGCTGGCTCTCATGTTTCAAGCTCCCTTTGTGAATAGTCTTGCTAACCTTACTTTCTTGTGCTGTAGTTCCTGGATTCACCTTCTCTCAAACCTCTGGCTCACGGTTCTCTCTCGGACTCAGGATAACAAACCACCATTTTTGAAATCACTCAATGCCTCACCTGCCTGCCCCCTGCCACCACACTCTATCAGGAACCTCTAGATCTCGCCTCAGGTCAGCCTTTCCACATTGCTCAGCTCACCCCGGATTTACATCACCCTCCACTCATGGCTCTTTTGCTCCTCCTGCAAAGTGACTGCTAACTGCGCTGTTCCAGGCTGCATCTCAGGCCCATTTCCCCTTTCTAGTTCCACGTCCCCCTAGCCATGTTACCCACGCCACGCCACGCCACGCCCCGTCAAATTCTGCGTTTCACTGCTTTTTGTTCTTGCCACATTTTCTAAGACTAAGTATAACCAATAAGTATATTGTAAAGCTACCTGCCTTCTCTGTCCTGGGTTTCTGCACCTCAGTCCAGTTTTGGTACTGACCACTCGGTCCCGTGACATCAGACCGTGGTCCTGCATTGCCTGCTCTATATGTTGCTTCATATGATGATATATGTGAAAAAATGAAGCAGTGACCCTTAAAACTGATCAAGGTCATGTGAATTCAGCAGGCAGAACTGATGCCAGATTTTGACATGAATCGGACAATATGGTAAACAACATAAAAGTAGGTCACGGTTAAAAATAAATGAAATAAAAAGAAATAAATCAAAACAAATGAGAAAAAAAAATCAGTTTTATTTCAAAGTTATTATCCCTGCTGTCTCTTCAGTCTGTCTCTCTCACTCCATATGAAAGGCAAGTTATTGAAGATGGAACCAATAACTATGCAATGCAAATGCATTACAAAAGTCATGCTAAATCACTCCCCAGTGAATATATTTGCATCATATCTGTTTGTGCTGACAACTAGAAAATTTCATTTCAACAGTTTACA